CAGGGGCTCACTCTGTTGGGACTGAGATTTGTTGGGGAATGGGGGGCAGAAAGAGCTATAGGTTTCGACTACCTGAAGCTGAATGAGGCTGCACAGGTCCTGGGGCGAAAACAGCCGCGCCGCCACCAGGATACTTCCGGAATCTGTCCTTTAATTATCTGGAGCAGCTGCGAAACTTACCTTAGAGCCTCACGAGCCCTAGAGCGCCCCGGAGGGTGTCCCCGCCCCCTCCGACGGGGGCATCTGGCGGATTCGCCGCGGAGGGCTGCAGCTCGGGCCTCGCAGGGTCGCCTGACCGTTTCAGGCCCGTGCTCCCACCTCCCGTCTCCGTCTTGGTTTAATCGCAGTTCAAAGGGGGCTGCTGAGCTCCCGCTGCTCTCTGCTTTGTAACCCGCTCCCCAGATTCCCTCCTACCCCAGGCCTCTTCCCGCCAGAGGGCGCCCCTGGAGTCGGTGGAGGAGGTAGGGGCTCTAAATACAAAAATTCAAGACGAGTTGAATCTTGGCTTGAACTGCGTGACAGGAAAATAGGCAAGTTTGGAGACCACAGGTGTTAACTTCTAGTGGGGCTTGACCCGACAGAGGAGCAGATTCTTCAACACCAAAGGCCCAAGGGCCTGACTCTCTTCGGCTGACTCTGGCCCGCATAGACGCGCCCTAGCCTCGCATTGCCTCCGCAGGGCACGCCTGTGAGGGAAACTGAAAAGCAGAAGCCGCGCTAGGATGTCTCAGCGCCCCGCTCCCAGCCTGCCCACAGGCCACGACTTGAGAAAAGCTTTCCCAAAAGGAAAGTCCCCTCAAAGACTCTAGACAGTCAAGTCGGGAGAGGGAGCAGTAGAGGGATCATTCCTTCCACTGCGTCTGTGAAAGCCGACTGTCTGCACGCCCCGGGCTCCAGCGGTCCCTCCCGAGGCTTTCGGTTCTGGTGCCTGAGAAAGCAGCGCAGAGGGGGCCCTGCAAGACCCCTCCAGAGAAAAATCATCCCCCGGAGGCATTCCTCAGATTTTGGGGTTGCGGAGCAGCGACCCCCAGCGCCCATTTGCACTCCTGCCTTCCGCTCCCTGAGCCTGGTTGCCTCGATGGCACTCGCGAGCCCAGCTCAGCCCGGCCTAGAAGCCTGTGCCTAGCTATGGAAGACCCGCGGTAGCAACTGAGGGGCCCAAGTGCTTCGGAATTGTCGAAGGTGGGAGGCCTAGATTCAGTTTCTATAAATCCAAAATACAGAATCAGAAGGAATAACTCCTTCTGTTAGCGACTTTTGTGATCTACAAACTCAGGCACATGATCTTATCCTGAATTGTTTGGATCCCTAGCACAAACCAGGCCAGTACACAGGGCAGGTTGTGACCATTTTTTACACTCAGGAAACAGGTGCCAGGAGGCTGTGTTTCCTTAGCATTTCTCCAGGCACTGGAGAGGGGGGGTTCAAAGATAAAAATGGGGCTCACCCTCAAGGAGGGAAGCCAGAAAACACACACTGGTTTACTCTGGCTGTGATGGGTGTGACTCCAGGGTGTGGCAGGAGCCCACAAGGGCGGTACTGCACGGCTGGAAAGAGGCAAAGCCAGGGTTCAAACCTAGGACTGACTTCTACTCAAGGGCTCCTCTCACGACCTTGGAATGCTGGGAGATCAAGAAATGATGCAAAAACACACACACAAACCTCCATTACAACCCTCTGTATCTCACTGGATCCTGCAGTAACATCTGTCAGAAAGTAACTACATATTATCTGGGTGATTTATTGTGAATGTGTAAGCTCCGTGTGAGTAGGAGCTGCACCTAGATTAAGGCTGAATTTTCAGGCCTAGCGTAGTCCCTGGCACAGAGCCCTAGCTGAATAAATACTGTTGAGTGAATCAAAAATTGTGATAAAACTTGAAGCAAAATAACACTACCAAGAGACAGAGTCGCTCAGCGCCCTAAAGAGGAGTGGAGGACCACAAAGGGAGTTAGAAAAAGCAGTTGTGGAGTGGGGCGGTGAGACAGGTGGTTCCTCCTCACAGTTCCACCCGGTCCAAGCTACAGACCCCAAATTAGCCTTCTGTATGAGCCCTCTGTTCTTGTCTAGCGAAGTGACACTGGAGGGAGAGAAGGGAGTTTCCCTGTGGCCACGCTGGTGTAAGCAAAGGCTGATGGCGATTCCGCGCATCTAGGGCCGATCCTGGGCCTGTGCCCCCTCGGATTCCCGGTCGAGGTCGAGCCGCAGCCAGCGAAGCAGAGCGTGGTCGGAATTGAGGCAGCGACTGTGTGAGGCTGCGCCAGGGAAAGCTCCGCGAGGGGACAGTGTTGGGCCCTGCCCTGACCTGCTCCCCACTGTGCCCACTCCACCCCGGAGCAAGTTAGTTGCGGGATAAAGGAAGACGCGCAGACTTCGCGAAGTGGAATCGGGGTTATTCGTATTCATGGAAAAAAAAAAATCACTGGTTTAGCCGGGGTCTGCCCTATTTAGCATGAGTCTAGGAGGCGGCGGAAAGAAAGGACGCTCTTCGGTCAAAAGGAGGTGTTTTGGGCCATGGGAGGGACTCTCGAGGTCTTTGCTTGGATAAGCTCGGAGATACAGATATCCTTCTCTTCCCCACAGGTGCCTTAGTCTCCGGGCTTATTTTTGGCAGTGCAGCGGTACTGGGGAAGAAGGCAGAGCCGCGCGTTGAGAAGGTTAGGGTAGGAGAGGTGCTGAAGCCTGGGCGGCAGGTCGCTGCAAAGGCCCAGGCGAGGTGGAGACGAGAGCTTGCTGGTGCGCGCGAGAAGCACCCTTGCAGGCAGAGGTTGAAGCGCCGTTCCAGTTGGTCCCAGAGTGAAGCGGGAGTCTTTGCCCGCCCCAGCCACTTGGAGCTCCGCTTCAGTTCAGCTCCCATTCGCCACCTGGCTCCAGTTCAGCTCCCAAACTCGCCACCTGCTGCGCGGTTCTTGGGGAGTGGGTTCCTTGTCCAGAAAGGAGAGGGGGTTTCCTCGAGAACTGCAGGCCCGGTTGCCCCGGGACTCTCAGAGCCGGAGGCCAGGGAGCTGCCAGCCACGTGCGCCTGTGGCCTGCTGAGAGGTTGAAAAGCTGCCGAGGGACGAAGACCCAGGGTCTGTGGAAGATTCACCCAACTCTTCCTTTTACTCAGGTCTGGGGACCTAAAGAGGGGATGGGGATCGTCATGATAATAACTACCGCAATCTTCAGTGCTGGCACTGAGCTGAAAAACATTCAAAGCTTTCAAAGCACTTTGATGTGCTCCATCTTACTTGAATCTCACAAAAACATTGTGAAGATTGATCTCCATTTCTAAATGGTGTTGAGACTGGGAGAGATGTACAACATTCTACACTTAGTGTTTCTTAAACTTACCAACAACTATGAAATAATGGCGAGTCAGAGAAAGAAGCTGGGTGACAGGGAAACCCACCCCGCCTTCGCAATCAGACCCCATTCGGGACGCAGGGCCGGCCAGGTCGCGCCTGCAGACAAGGTCTGTATTCAGCGTTGCCAGTTCTCCTCTGTGGTTCGCTTAAGCCCGGCGTCGCCTCCCCTCCTTGCTTAGCCACCACAGTAATCAATGCTCAGTTCGTCCGGTCCTGAGAGCGCCCCCCAGAGAAGCCCCTGGGAAGGAAGGGCAAGGAGCGGGGCTTTGCGCTGGTCTTTCGCAACACAAGCGGCGAGCGCGTCTCCCTGCGCAAACATAGAGTGGCCTCCCCAGCACTGCCGTGGGGACCACACAAAAACGCGGGCGCAGGTGGGAGGGCGGAGGGTGCCCTGAGCTTTCTTTCGCCTGGTAAAGAAGGTAGGCTGTGAGAAAAGCCAATGTTAGTATAGACGTTGGCTTTGTATTGAGGGAGTAAGAGCACTCTTCAAGGACAGGGCTGAAATCTTTAAAAACAAATAAAACTTTCTCTACTATAATTGCTATTAATAATTTTAAAAGGGAGCCTGGATGAATTAAGTAGCTCAAAACTGCCTGTTCATCATCAGGAGCTCCCTCTCTACAAGGAGGGGAAAGAAAATGTGAAAACAAAAACTAAATTCGAGAAGCTCCTTGACCAGCGCGGTTGTCTTGGAGGTACCCGCCGGGCCCGGCCGAGGAGCGCTCTGCCCTCCCAGCCCCCGGCGCGCAGAGGAGGCTAAAACAACCAAAGAGAAAGCAAAACAAAAACAATAATAAAAACGTTTAAAATCCACGGACAAAAACCGGAGTCGGTCTCAAAATCCGCGCCGTTCAGGGCTCCACTCGGTAGTCGACTCGGCTGCAGGCCCCGGCCTGGTCCGAACAACGCGAGGGACACCCCTGACTCCGCTGGGGATCGCAGCCCACAGCTCCCCCTCGCCAGGCGCCCAAGGACCCTCAAGGCGCGGGGCCCACACTTGAAGCCTGGGAACGCGCAGACAGGAAACCCACTTCCTCCTAAGCAGTTTCTTGCTCGTCGGATGAGAGGCGCCCAATTGAAGCAGAATGATCCTCATCTACTAATATCCAGCGTGGCCACAAAGCGACTGGCCATTTACGCCACCACTTTAAACAAAGATATTTGGTTATTCCAGGGAAGCAAGTGCACTTTTGCATGGCTGAGCTGCGGGCGGAGGCGAGCCTCAGCCCAGCCTCCCGCCCGCTGAGCTTCCCGCACCTCGGCATTCGCCCCCTCCTGGCCAGCGCTCCCGCCGCCTGGGTTCAGGCTCAGTTCCGCCCGGCAACAGACTGGCGGGCACTCACTCCGCTCCCTGCCCGCGCCCTCCCTGAAGCATCAGAGGGGAAAACGGCGTGGCTTTGGGCTCGGGTGCTGGGGCTGTGATGTCCTCGGAAAGTCAGCTTCAGCCCCAGAACCCCGCGTGTCTGGGAGATGGGCGAGGGTCAGGGACACCAGGTTTGTTCGAGGTGGGGCAACTTCAGTGACGGACCCTCCCGTGAGACCCCTTCCCATCATCCCAGCTCGGGGGGCCAGTGCTGTGTTTGCTCGGCCGCGGGTGGGGGTGGGGAAAGACCTGGGGGGAGGCGTGTTGGCGGGGGTGGCCCACTGAAAAACCACTGAGCTGCGGGGGCGGGTAGTGGCTCGGGGATCCGGGACAGCCTCCGGGAGGCAGTCGATCCCCTACTCAGCGCCCCCTCCGCCCGCTCGGATTCTCTCGGGTAGGGGGAAAGGGGGCGGGGAGCAGAGGTGTCCCTCTGACGGCGGCAGAAGAGAGGCAGACAGACTGACAGACACGTAGACCAACAGTGCGGCCCCAGGGTTCGTCCCCAGACTCGCTCGCTCATTTGTTGGCGACTGGGGCTCAGCGCAGCGAAGCCCGATGTGGTCCGGAGGCAGTGGGAAGGCGCGGGGCTGGGAGGCCGCGGCGGGAGGGAGGAGCAGCCCCGGCAGGCTCAGGTGAAACCCCCACCCCGTCCCTCGGCCCTCTTCTCCTAAAGACCCGTTCATGTCCGGGGAACCCCGACCGAATTGGAAAGTGGTTCCACTTTGTAACTCCGCAAGTTGGTTGCAAAGCAGCATTCACCTTCCTTCCTCCCAACCATCTCTCCTCCTCGGTTACTCCCCCACCCCACCTCCTGCCCTCCCCGCTCTCGGTTCCCTCCTCCTTCCCCACCCCTCCACCTCCTCCCCGCGCTCCGCTGGTACCCCACAAAAAATGGGGGTGGGGGTGTCCAAGGGAGGGGGGAAATGCTTTGGGTCTCGTCTCTGCCTCTCTCTCTCTCTCTCTTTGAGACCTAAAAATCCTGACAAGTGAAACTTAAAGGTGTTTACCTTGTCATCAGCATGTAAGCTAATTATCTCGGGCAAGATGTAGGCTTCTATTGTCTTGTTGCTTTAGCGCTTACGCCCCGCCTCTGGTGGCTGCCTAAAACCTGGCGCCGGGCTAAAACAAACGCGAGGCAGCCCCCGAGCCTCCACTCAAGCCAATTAAGGAGGACTCGGTCCACTCCGTTACGTGTACATCCAACAAGATCGGCGTTAAGGTAACACCAGAATATTTGGCAAAGGGAGAAAAAAAAAGCAGCGAGGCTTCGCCTTCCCCCTCTCCCTTTTTTTTCCTCCTCTTCCTTCCTCCTCCAGCCGCCGCCGAATCATGTCGATGAGTCCAAAGCACACGACTCCGTTCTCAGTGTCTGACATCTTGAGTCCCCTGGAGGAAAGCTACAAGAAAGTGGGCATGGAGGGCGGCGGCCTGGGGGCTCCGCTGGCGGCGTACAGGCAGGGCCAGGCGGCACCGCCGGCCGCGGCCATGCAGCAGCACGCCGTGGGGCACCACGGCGCCGTCACCGCCGCCTACCACATGACGGCGGCGGGGGTGCCCCAGCTCTCGCACTCCGCCGTGGGGGGCTACTGCAACGGCAACCTGGGCAACATGAGCGAGCTGCCGCCGTACCAGGACACCATGAGGAACAGCGCCTCTGGCCCCGGATGGTACGGCGCCAACCCAGACCCGCGCTTCCCCGCCAGTAAGTGAGGCCGCCCCACTGCGGGGCCGCGGGCTGAGCTCAGGAGATGAGGCGAGAGCCGTCCAGAAGGCGCGGCGCCGGCAGGCTGCGCGCTGGGCATCAGGGAGGGCGGCCCGGCAGCGGCGCCAGGGACTTGGGTGCGGGAGCTGGGGGTGCTTCCCGCTGCTCGGCTGGGGATCCAAGAACAGGCACTTGGTAGTGCTGGGGTCCTGCGGTCAGATGCGGGTACTCGGCGTTTCCTAGGCGCGGTGGACTGGCAGTTCTGTTCCGCGCAGAAGACCTCGGGGAGCCGAGGGAAGCGACCCCGAGCTCAAGGAGCAGGGGCGAGCAGAGCGCGGAGAGGCTAGGCCCGGCCAGGAGGGAGGCTGCCCTGTTGGGAGGCACTCGAGCGCCTGTCCCGGCCCTCTCTCCAGCGGAGTCTGGGCAGGTGGGAGGACTCGCAGTTCCAGAGGGGACTCTAAGGGGCCGAGCAGTTGCCCTCACTGAGGCCGACAGGAGAGAAGCCAAGAGGCAAAGCGTCTGGGGGCTCCAGCTTTTGGAAGTCAACACCCCCTTTTCTAACCTCTCCAAACTGGGGTCTACCGTCGGACCCCAGCTCCCTGCCTGAGCCCAGTTCGCCGCCTGTGGCCAGCTAATCCCATTGCTCTGACCTGGGCTGGGCACGAAAGGAGCAGAAGCGGCCTTTCCCCCAATGCGTCTTTTGGTTCGAAAGAGGGAACTGAGACTGAGGGAGGGCAGCCAGGGTTCATGCTGTGAGCGCTCTAGTGCAGCCCTAGACGGCACCGCCTGGGGCAGGCGCTGGCAGTTCCCCGCGGATGGGCCTCTTGGGGCCCAGCGCTAGGCTGCCTGGGTCAGGAGGGCGCCGTCGGGTTGGGGCGGGCCGGGCGGGCCAATGGCGCGGAAAACAGGGGTGGCCTGGCTCGGCCTGGCCCCGGCCGACGCTGTGCGTTTGTCGCTTACAGTCTCCCGCTTCATGGGCCCGGCGAGCGGCATGAACATGAGCGGCATGGGCGGCCTGGGCTCGCTGGGGGACGTGAGCAAGAACATGGCCCCGCTGCCAAGCGCGCCGCGCAGGAAGCGCCGAGTGCTCTTCTCGCAGGCGCAGGTGTACGAGCTGGAGCGACGCTTCAAGCAACAGAAGTACCTGTCGGCGCCGGAGCGCGAGCACCTGGCCAGCATGATCCACCTGACCCCCACGCAGGTCAAGATCTGGTTCCAGAACCACCGCTACAAAATGAAGCGCCAGGCTAAGGACAAGGCGGCGCAGCAGCAATTGCAGCAGGACAGCGGCGGCGGCGGGGGCGGCGGGGGCGCCGGGTGCCCGCAGCAGCAACAGGCTCAGCAGCAGTCGCCGCGACGTGTGGCGGTGCCGGTCCTGGTGAAAGACGGCAAACCGTGCCAGGCGGGTGCCCCCGCGCCGGGCGCCGCCAGCCTACAAGGCCACGCGCAGCAGCAGGCGCAGCAGCAGGCGCAGGCCGCGCAGGCGGCGGCAGCGGCCATCTCCGTGGGCAGCGGTGGCGCTGGCCTTGGCGCACACCCGGGCCACCAGCCAGGCAGCGCAGGCCAGTCTCCGGACCTGGCGCACCACGCCGCCAGCCCCGCGGCGCTGCAGGGCCAGGTATCCAGCCTGTCCCACCTGAACTCCTCGGGCTCGGACTACGGCACCATGTCCTGCTCCACCTTGCTATACGGTCGGACCTGGTGAGAGGACGCCGGGCCGGCCCTAGCCCAGCGCTCTGCCTCACCACTTCCCTCCTGCCCGCCACACAGACCACCATCCACCGCTGCTCCACGCGCTTCGACTTTTCTTAAGAACCTGGCCGCGTTTAGACCAAGGAACAAAAAAACCACAAAGGCCAAACTGCTGGACGTCTTTCTTTCTTTTTTTTTTCCCCCTAAAATTTGTGGGTTTTTTTTTTTTATAGAAAATAAAAACAACCAAGCGCATCCAATTTCTTAAGGAATCTTTAAGCAGAGAAAGGCATAAAACAGATTTGGGGTTGTCTTTTTTGGTGATTCAAATGGGTTTCCCACGCTAGGGCGGGGCACAGATTGGAGAGGGCTCTGTGACATGGCTCTGGACTCTAAAGACCAAACTTCACTCTGGGCACACTCTGCCAGCAAAGTGGACTCACTTGTAAATACCAGGATTTTTTTTTTTTTTTTTTTTTTTTTGAAGGGAGGACGAGAGCTGGGGAGAGGAAAGAATCTTCGACATAACCCATTTGTCACTGACACAAAGGAAGTGCCCCCTCCCTGGCACCCTCTGGCCGCCTAGGCTCAGCGGCGACCGCCCTCCGCGAAAATTGTTTATGTTTGATGTGAACTTGTAGCTGTAAAACGCTGTCAAAAGTTGGACTAAATGCCTAGTTTTTAGTAATCTGTACATTTTGTTGTAAAAAGAAAAACCACTCCCAGTCTCCAGCCCTTCACTTTTTTTTATGGGCATTGACAAATCTGTGTATATTATTTGGCAGTTTGGTATTTGCGGCGTCAGTCTTTTTCTGTTGTAACTTATGTAGATATTTGGCTTAAATATAGTTCCTAAGAAGCTTCTAATAAATTATACAAATTAAAAAGATTCTTTTTCTGATTAAAACCCTCCTTTTTGTTTGGTTTTGATTTGGCTTTAAATGGCTTTGAGGGCGGGGGCTTGGGAGGATCTTGTCTCTGGTCTGATGAGATTCAAATTGTTTGGGTTTGAGCTCAAAGGATTCTGAACCGGGTAAGGAGGTAAGGAGGCCAGGCCGAGAGTCCTTGCCCCACAGGAAGAGGGAGTTTTGTTCTTTAGAAATTGTGTGGAACCAAACCTAGAGCAGTCCTGAGACTGCAGTGGAGGACCGAAATACCAAACTACTTCCACCAAAAGGGAGAGGGAGAGAGAAAGAGAAAGAGACCAAAGAATTCATTTTCTGAGTCAGGCTTCTGTTGATAGGAGTTTCAGAAGTATCTACTGTGGTCTCACAAACCTGAGCCAAAGTTTTAAAACAGTGAGAGAGGACACCCATTTTAAATAACTCTGAGTGAGTTATGGTTTTTAGCGAATGGATCGCCTCTGTAGATTTGAACATCAAATCTTTATTTCTAATCCGTGGCTGAGCTCCTTCACAGAATTCGGTGGGAGGTTGTTTTCAAAAGTGAGGAAGTCATTCTGGGGTTTTATTTCTGCCCTAAAACAGGGATCCCTCTCGGGGACCAGCAGCAGACACGCACAGCCCCTGCTGCTTTTGGCTCCTTTGGCCTCCAATGGAGTAACACTGGGTGACAGGCCTGAGGACGTCCCAGGAAGGACTTTGTGAGCTGAGATTTCACTCTTTGTTGTACCGGTTTTTCTCTCTGGGATCCTAAATTTTTGTAGTAATGAATCTTTCTCCTGTTTGCAGTTCTTCACCTCCCAGCCACTACCTCCCATGCCAAGCAAAGAAAAAAAAATCATTTTTGATTCCTTCTTCCAACCTCTAATTTCCTGGTTTCCTCAGTGCTTAGCGTTTGTGTTGGGAGACCCATCAGGGATGAGAGGGAGGGGAGAAGGAATGGTTTTGAACATAGAAAAACTGTAGTCCCTGGAGGGGCTGTAGCCCCTTCCGGGTCACCCTTGCCAAATCTACGGACGAAAGGCAGCTGAGCGAGCTGAGCGAGCTGCGGGCAGATGCCCCTCCCAGCACTTTCCTCTAGGCCTGGAAGTATTGGATTATGGGCACTTGATTCTTATTTGGCATGTACTCACTTCTCGCCTAGATTTTCAACGTTCTTTTTCTTCCTCTCTTTCCCTCTTTCATTTCATTATGTCTGCATCTCTTCCCAATCCCTCCCTCCCGCTCCCCCACCAACAGCTTGTGAGGAAAGCAGACTGGCCGGAGTCCTCGCTCCGGTCCCAGTAGTCCTCTTTGTTGACTTCCTGGAGGCTCCTCTGGGGTGGTGCCTTAGGACTGGGGGCTAGGCCGCACTTTCTCCCTCAGAAACCTGGGCCTCACTGCTGAGATACAGTTTCCAATATCCAGAGGGACTCGAAGATACCCAAGAGGATGGTTGGGTCTAGTGAGTGTGCTGGTTGAAAGGCGGGGAAGGGAGATTTTAGCAGGTCTCACATTTTGGAAAACAAACAAAAACCCGTAAAGTTTGACCACTTGCGTTGGAATGGTCAGCTGTGGTTCTGGGACCGGGAGTGTAGGTGGCTAAGGCACCCAGCTCAGGCTGGCCGGGCAGGGGACGTGGATACTGCAGCTGCTGTTTGGCTCTAGGTCCGGATCCCACGGAATTGGAGCTTCGCTAAACCTGCCCCAGTTTAGCCCAAGCCCGGGCGGGGACCTGGCTGGCAGTGCCCGGCTGCGGTCCAGGCGGCTGCCCCGCACCCCATTCCAGCCGGGAGCAAGCCTTTGAGAGTCACAATTTTAGTAGGCTGTGGTACCTTTGGTCTCATCATCTTTGCACTGGATGGAGTTTCCAACAAGTACATTCTTCTCCTCGACGTCTAGAGTCGGCACAGTTTGAAGTCTGTTTACTTGTCCCGGGGAAAGATGAACTCAGTTGGGTTTGGGCACCGAGACAAACAGGACCTCAGTCTCTTTCTCCCCATCAATCACGCTAGCTCCATCCGCTCCCGCTCCCGGCCGGGGGACTTGTAGCAGCTGCAGGAAGAGACCTAGAACGCAATCTGAAGCGTTTCATTAGGGAAATAGGTGGCGCTGGGAGCAGTGCAAGAGGGTTCCACAACCTGGGGACACCCTCCGCCCCTACAGCACCGTCGGCTTCTGGAAAGCCGACCGTCCTCCTTTCCGGGAATCTCCTTCATCAACTCGTGCCCAATTTCTGGCCTCCCCTCTCGGAGAAATCGGCCTTCTGAGGATGCCCCTGGCGCTGAGGTGCTTGGAAGCTTTCGAGGTTTGGGAGCAAGTACGGTTCACCCCGAGATCACTGCGAAGCTTTGCCTCCGCCAAAGTACCCTACCAATCCCTAGGCCCCAACGGCTGCGAGGAGTGGGGGAGATTTTGCACACTGCACCCCCCCTTCTTCCTCTCCCCACCCCCACTTCGCCATGTAAACACGAGGACTTTCTCGAGAGCCTTGGAGAGCCGCTCTAGTGGCTTCGGGCCCTGAAACCCCAGACTGGGCTTGTTTGATGTTTAGCATCCCAAAGCGGCTCCCCACCCTGGCCCCAGCCTGGGAACTGGGAGCTGTGGGCAGGAGAGGAAGGAAAGCAGCTCTCTCAGCTAGCAAGGGGGTCAGGGACTGGGCCAAGCTCAGAAGAGGGGAGAAGAGGGAGACAGATACGCTCTGAGTAGGGGAGACAGGGATCCCGGGCTGTTGCGACTACCAACAAGGGCACACACTGCGGTCCTCAAGGCCAGGAGGCGGATGGGGGCAGGGAATGCCTCAGCCAACAGGGCAGCGGCTCGGCCCTGCTGCTGGCCCGGTGGGAAGTAGCCTGGGGCCCAGCGAATGAAATCCGAGTCTGGCCCGGGCAGTCTCCGCTAGAAACGCTCTGGGCGCGCACTCCTGGAGACGCGGATGCCCCGGGCGCTCCAGACCAGTGTCCTTGTAGGAGGCTTCTTCCCGAAGCTTAGAGTTTGGCCTTTCATAGGGAAAGACTTGCTCGTGAGCCTTCTAAGGAATTTTAAATCTTCCTGGGCCAGGGCTGGGAGCGAGCTCTAGTGACGGTGTCTTGGTCTGGCATCCAACTCTCCAATTTTGAGGCCGCAGGGAGGAATTCTCAGACTTTAGAGGCCGCACAGCCTTCAGCGCGCTCACCGCGTCCAGGCGTCAGTGAGGGGCTATCTCCAGGCGCTAGTGCACAAAAGGTAGCGCGAATCTCTTCTCAGGCGATCCAGATAAGAGGAAATGAGAGCGGGGTTTTCTGACTTCCAACTCATTAGGGACCAGGTAAGGTCAATGCTTTCTCTATTATGTCTTTATCTTAAAAGCGGGTCAATTTAAGATAAGGGAAAAAAAATCTAGGATCTGTGTGAACCGTGCTGATAAAGACTGACCTCTTTTCTGAACTAAAAGCAAGCCAGGCAGACATTCATTTTCTATAAACAAGAGAGTTGTTAGAAGCTGCCTTGAATTCTGATCGTATGTCTCCAGACATCGCTCTCCCTTCCCTGCTCCCCACCCCCCAATTATTAGCGCGAGGAAGCAGAGTAGACGATTTTATTTGTGGAGAACTAGGAAGCCCATTGGGAGATGAGAATCTGAGATGATGTGGTTCTTAGGCATGGGCTACTGGCTTGTTTAGTTCAACTAGGACTTTCTTTTCGAATGGAAGGAAAGTGACAGACACGGGTATTGGGAGGGAGGAGGCTGAATGTTTTCTCTGCTGTTAGATTCTGGTTAGGAGACGCTGGACACCATGTTCCTCTGGCTCTCCCTGCCTTCCTGGCTGGCGCGTTCCTCCTCGTGCAGTTGTGTTTCTGAGACTTCAGGCCACCCTCTGTGGGGCCCGGTTTAGTAGCTTACCTCAACTTGGAGCACAGGAAAGTTTTCTGGTGCCCCTTCGGCCAGTTGCTTCTAGAAGGAGTCTTATTTTCAGTCACCCTCTCAGGAAAGTTTGTCCACCCAAGCTGAGGGAATTGGATATGGATGGGAGTAGATGAAAGTAAGTTTTACTGAAGGGGGTCTGCATGTGCCCTTATCCTCACCTCATGTAGTTGTGTTTCTGAACTTTCTTTAATGAATCTCAAACGAATGGAGAAAGAGCAGGCTCAGCAACTTGGCAGCACAGCTCTTGCCTCAGCTGAAGCCATAGCTGAAGTGGCTGGCTGTATTTCTCTCTGATAGTGACCTAATGCCCAACTTGGTGGGCATCGAGGCATGATCCTGGGCTCCTGTGCCTCTCCTCGTTTGATAATGTTTCCCGTTTGACCTCTGCTACCTAAGCATTTATTACCCTTGTTGTTATGAGTTGTAGCCAAGTTTTGGGAAGGGTTAGATTTAAATCCATTTTGCTGTTTTATCTATTTTTGTTATTTGTAGGACACTTCAACATAAATTGATCACTGTTAGTGCTCTGCCTGAAATATAAATAAAACACAACATAAATGTGGCAGGCGAAAGGACTTGTTAAAGAAAACTCTTGCCTCCCACATAAAATCCACATCTGATTCTGCTTACTCTGTGATTGCACACAGATTTCTATGTATTTATATATATGTGTGTATAGAGGTATATATACATATGTATCTATCTTATACACACGTATATATAAATATCGATCTGTCTTACACACATATATTTATTTTATAAGACATTCGAAATGAAAAATTGTAATATAGAATTATCAGAGATTTTACAGAACCCGTTAGATGCAAGAACATTGAATAAATTCACTACCTCAATTAAGGTGTCTCATTAGTTTCCCTGAAAAATTCAAATAGACCAAAACCCTTTAGTTTTACCCACTTTAAGTCAGAATATTTATTTATTGTCATGTGAAACTCTGGATAACTAATTATGTTTTAGGAAATATTAAAATTTTTTCCTAAAGAATTTGAACTTGGTGTCTGAGATACAGCTGTGGATAAGACTTCTTGAGGCATTCTATAACAAAAAAAATATTGTCCCTTGCTGAACTTATCCACCTATAAAAATCATTGGTATAAA